GTTGAGTTCTTCAAATAGCTCATTGCAATGGCAGAATCTTCTTATTGGCTTCCGCATTCTTTCAAGTTCCCCGGTAATGGTGTCAAAGGCGTGCTTGATCTCAAAAAGTGCACCCAAGTGCAAGTGGTCAAAAAGTAGTAATACTCGGTAAGACCGAGGTCGATCCTTAGGGAAATTAGTTTGGAATTAGAAAGGTAAAAAGAAAGAACAATTAAAGAGAATTTGAGTGTTAGTAATTTGAACACTTTTAAAGGAAATTGTTATGAAAGAAAGCTATTCTCAAGATTCGGGATTAGGTATCATTCATGTAAATCAAATATCATACTTATGCAATTATAATAAGTTTATCTCAGTTAACTTCCAACATCAGTGTAATTAACCAAAAAATATAGCTTGGAAACCAAAGGTGGATTGAAAAGAAAATAAGAATTTAAGAACTATGATTGTAAACTCGAAGGGAATTATAAGTATTAATCATACCAAAAACTTAATCTTATTAATGATTAATCAAATAAGGTTTTTTTTAATTTTTTTTTTTTTTTTTTGGGAAGGGTAGAGAGAGTTGAACCCTTGACCTCAAGAAGGCAAAGTCTTCACAAGGTAAGGAGTATCGTTGGATTAAAGACTCATTGGTATTCAAATAAGTTATGGTACATTACTTTAATAAAATCTTTCATTCAATCAAAGAATATTTGAAAATATATATCATTCAAGAACAAGAAAATTATAATTGCATTCATAAAATATTCAAGATATATTCATGAAAATCATACCCTAACTAGAGAATAGGAAGATGATTACTCACTAGCCATAAGCAAGATCTTCACAAAATAATAAAAAGGTTCTAAGAGAGTCTGGGAAGAGAGATCTACCACAACATAAGAAAGGTCCTATATATACTAAAAGGTCTAGGGTTGATTTGGGAACAATCCCTTTTCAAAAAGGAGTCTTCTAAAGTCAAATCTCATGCATCAGGATTGTTTAGGCATGTCCTGACGCCCAAATCGCGTCCTAACAGTCAAAATTTATTAGACCAAACCTCGTAGGTGCGTCTGGATAGAGGAGCTGCGTCCGGACACAATCTTTGAATCCTAATCTTTGACTTGGTCAACATAGCTAAGTCTGAACAATCACACGCGTCCTAATGAAGGCACACCGTATCATCAAAAGAGTGTCCACATGCACAACCTCGTCCAAATATCTTGAAATCTCTAGAATTGGCCTTGAAGCACTCTCATCTGTACAGAGTGATTGCGTCCGAACGCGCCTATGTATGCAGCTAGGGTCTACTATAGTCAACTGTTTGACTCTTTGAAATTATACTTTAATCCCTTTGATTTTCATGCAATCTTCAATTCATCCAATCAATTTATCAAGCATCATAAATCACCTCAATCTCCCTATTTTACCTGATAAACCAATCAAACACAAAAATACCATCAAAGCATAAAACTAATATGAAAAACAATAATTAACTCAAAATAAATGTAATTCGTCATAACTATCAAGTAAATAATTGATAAATTACATGACGAATCAACGGTCATAGGGTGGTTAAGACTGGAATGAAATCATGTTTCCATCCTATCCAAAAGTAACACCACTCGAGCGACCCTGAGCACTGCTCGAGCCACCATGAAGGACCACTTGAGCGAACTCTGTGTTGTTCTCCTGTGGTCTTTCTCCATCTAATTCCCTAAATCATCAGGAGAGTAATCTAGCCAAGGGTAGTGAGCATAGCTCGGTCCCTATTGATTTTTAAAGTACAAAATCAAGCAAAAAATAGTCCACTTGAGCACTAACGGGTGTTGCTCAAGTGGAATCCAATAATAACTTAATTTGTGTTTTCAAAATATAAAATTATTTAAAAAATATTTTCTTTTGAAATCACCTAGGAGTCATACACGGATTGCTTTCATTTTCATTTTCATTTTCATTTTCATTCTAATCAACTTAAGTTAACAAAATNGTTTTCAAAATATAAAATTATTTAAAAAATATTTTCTTTTGAAATCACCTAGGAGTCGTACACGGATTGCTTTCATTTTCATTTTCATTTTCATTCTAATCAACTTAAGTTAACAAAAAAACTAAATCTTCATCTTTGGTGTCTTAGTCATTACCTTTGTCCTAAACATAAAAGTGAATATGAAGGTTGAATGATGTTGTTTTAACGTTTGACATTCTCCCTTTAATGACATTTTCAGATCTTCAACTTGATAGCATCATGACTATGAAAAAGATTGAGATTTATAATGTGCTCCACAAAATTAACCAATTAGAAAAATGTGATCTAACATCATCAAAACCAACTTAGTGGAGAAAAGACCATGAAAAACCACCACAATTTGCAATGAGCTGTCAAGAAGGCCCATTTTTTGCGGTATGAGTTTGACTAAAATCACCAAATCACGATAATAATTGGTAAGCCCTTAGACTTGATAGAAGCTAGGGGTGCAACTTGAACAGGCCAACCTGAATTTAACCCAAGCTCAATCCGAAAAAAACAAGGCTTAGATTATAATTTTTAATATTTGGGTTGGGTCTAGGCAAAAAACCTCTAACCCAAATTGAATTTGTGCAAGTCTCGGGTTGAGGCCTCAGGTTGTCGGGTTCAACCGAATATTAAAATTGGGTTGAACCCGAATATACATAAATATATAAATATATTTAATTAGAGTTAGTATTTATCTTCACTCTTCAGAGTTCAGACTTTTACTTCACTTCAAATCTTCATCTCTGCGTCTTCATCGCTCCCAGATCCCTCTTACTCATCACTCCTCCCTTTCTCACTCCCTTTTTCTTCATCTGCGCCTCGCCCTTCATCTGCACCTCACCCTTCATCTCAGATCATTAGATTTACACTTTAAAAAATCAAATCTACACTTCAAAAAATCAATCCGAATTAAGTAACTCAAGTCCAACCTAATTTTTAATCCAAAATCAGTCCAAATTAAATAACCCTAATTCAATCCGAGCCCACCCGAATTAAACTCAGACAATATTCAGGTTGAGTATCTCAGATTGAGGTAGGGTTAGGATTAAGATTGAAGATTATATACTTAGAGTTGGATTAGGGTTGACCTCTCAACCCGCCCAAAAAAACTGATTCTGGCCTTATGTGCTCACGTTCTACAACAGTAATACTTGGTATCCCAAATGAATTTTAAATTTTGAATTCCAAATAAAATAATAATCTTTGAATGATTGGTCTCATCAAAAAATACTAACGAACCCACTAATCTAAAAAATTCTATTCACTTGAGATCTTATTTGGGATCCCTATCAGTGTTCATACACGAGAATTTCTCTTTTCTTCTTTTTTATTTTTTTAAATAAATGAACACTAAATGATCTAGGACATATTTAGTTTAGGTATACAGAAATTGGATTAGATTAATTTAATTAAGTGATGATGTAATACCGAATTTGAATTGGGTTATAATGACTTGGTATTAATTTCTTTCTAATCCTGACCGGTTCACTATTGTCATTTAACACTTAATAATAAGTATTAATGAATACCATGTGATAGGTGATATTATTTTGAAAAAAATTAGAATTAAAAACACAATGACTTTATTATCCTTGCAAAACCTAGATCCAAACCTTTATATAAAAGTTATCTATTATATGCAAAGTCTTGTCCTCAATATTTGTTTTATTATTTTTAAATTAATATGAATTTTTATATAAAAGTTATATATTATGCAAACTCATACCCTCAATATTTATTTTTTTATTTTTAAATCAATAGCATACATTATTGCCTAATTCAAACATATATCGTATCCTAACATTGATCCAAACTAGTTACACAAAAGATATGATCAAATAGCATTCATGTTAACATCGTTTGTATGAATTAGATGAGGACCAATTGTCCAATCCCATCCCTATCAGTGATCATACACAAGAATTTCTCTCTTTTTCTTTTCTTTTTTGTAAATGAACACTAAAGGATTTAGTACATATTTGGTTTAGGTATTAATAGATTGGATTAGATTAATTTAATCCGGTAATGACGTAATAATGAATTTGAATTGGGTTAGTAACTCGATATAAATTTATCACTAATCTCGACCCAATTTACTATTGTCATTTAATACCCAATAATATTAGGTATTAATGAATACCATGTGATAGGTGATATTATTTTTAATAAATTTAGAAATAAAAACACAATAGTTTTATTATCCTTACAAACCTAGATCCAAACCTTCATGTAAAAGTTATATATTATACAAACTCTTGCCTCTATTTATTTTATTATTTTTAATTTAATACCATACATTATTACCCAACCAAGACATTTATCTTATCCTAACATTGATCCAAACTTATTACACAAATGATAGGATCAAATAATATTCATGTTAACATCATTTGTATGGATTGAATAAGAACCAATTATCCAATACCATCTTTTATTTAATCCTCACCAAACATATCCCTAATGTATTAAAATTCCTATGCAATTCATTTTTTTTATTTTTTTTTAAGGGGAAGGGGAAGGGGAAGGGGAAGGGGAAGGGGGAGGTGGAGGGCTATGCAATTCATTAAACACTAGTCCTGCTGAACAAATCTTGAACCACGCAATGAGATAGATAATGAAATTTCGCTTTGAAATAGGAACAAAATCTTTTGTCTTTTTTAACTCTTTCCAAAGCCGCTAATGGCTTAACTTGTAAACTGTGACACTGTACACTGACTTTAGAAATACTGATAAAGCACAAGGGTTTTTCTCTTAATCCCCAGCACAAGCAAGAATGTCGAGTATTAATCCAACGATGGATAAAACGTACAAGTACAATACCTGGTTAGGCAGTGGGACAAGATGGCTGAAAATCTGGACAAAAGATGCATATCCGACCTCTCTAACTCCCTGCCAGTTCAGAAAGTATGGGTGGGTATCTGAAAAGGTCAACAGGCCATGACTAGGACGAGTTCCATTCTATACTCTTGGTCATCGCACAATCTCAAATTGTCAGTAAGGGTGGGTATAATTGCCTGCCTCATGAACATGGAGGAACAACAGTAACTGGTCAAAATAACACTAATATAAAGTTAAAACACAAATGAAAAAAAAAAAACTATATTTATAGACAATATCCTTCGCCCTTTCTTAAATCAACAGACCTAAATATGTAATATGCATTCTCTGTAAGGTTCAAGGTCCACTAGCTGTAGCAAAAATCTATAGTCAGAAAACAAGAAGCAGTCAAGAAGTAAGTTCTGCGGCTGCTTTCAACTTCCACTCATAGCTTGAACTGTAGCTCCCGTAACCAAATTAATGTAATTCAGCCAAAATTAAAATTGTCTAGCATCCGAAGATCAATATCCATTTTATTTTCCTCTTTTCTGTCCAATTTTACTTTGTATCGCCCCATAAAAAATGATAGCCTCACAAATATGAAACAAAATTGATAACCTGGATAGTGAAACGAACTTCACTAATCAAGTGCAGCTTTGCTTCTTCGCCCAGTTACTGGTTTTGGCAAGCCATCAAAGATTGGTCTTGTAATGGCTGCAGTCGAAAGGGCCTGCAGACCTGGCTTCAAACTCCACTTTGATGTTGGCCAGATGGATGAACATGTGCTACTGTCAGAATCCTGCAAACTCGATGTACTTGATGACTTCCTTACTCCACTAAAACTGTCAGCCACAAATGAACCCCCTAAACCTATAGGAATAGCATTCTGCCAACCTGCTTCAGCTTCAGAACCCAAGATAGTTCGGCTTGCTGCCTTGGGTCTCAGAGCTAATCCTTTACCTGTAATTGCAGAAAATCCACCACCACTACTGCAATTTTCTTCCTCTATCAGCATTTCTGGGGTGCGGGAACCAAAGTCAGCTTCAGATTTCTGACGCCTTCTTACTAACTTCTCAATCCATTTTTCAGAGTCAACTTCTCTGGTTTCCAAAACAGAAACTGACACATCATCAGCCACATCACCATTCTCAGACATGAAACCATTACCTAAGCATTTAGATTTTCTATGATGACTCAGAGGCAGGTTAGAAGAACATGACGGTTTGGCAAATGGTCCATCCTCTAAATAATGAGAACCTCCTTTCTGATAAACAGCCATTTCAAAGCCTTCGTATGTAGCTTTCTGATATTTTGATTTTAGACCATAATAACCTCGTAGACTGCTCATGGCTGGGGAGACCTTATGCTGGGGAGAAGATTTTAATTTCAATGATTGGAATGAATCCAAAAAATCAGATTGCCTACGATTGGGTGGGGTCTGATCAGAGCTACATGGTCTGCAAAAAGATTCGTCATTATAAGCCACTGGTAAGGCTGTGTAAATACTCACTAGAGGGTAACATTTACTGCAACTCAACTATTAAGTTGTGAACATTCAAACATTAAATTAGTGGAAAATAAAGCAAAAGTCAATTCAAAGTCAAATGAGCTTCTCCCGATAAACAAAAAGGCTTCCGCTCCCCACCCCTTTCCCTTTTTCACCATGCAACATGATATAGTTATGTACCTTCTAATATCACAAAAACAAGGCATAAAAAGTGTTCATCAAGATACAAAACTGGAATAGGTGCTAGTGCATGCAAAATCCGGAACCCATTTAAAATTTAGTTACCTTGAACAAAGTTCCCACAAAACCCAAAACTTTTAAGCAAGAGCAAGCACATTTCTTCACTCTCCTGGCAGTTCAATTCAGCAATGGGTATCTTTTTTCCCCTCCTGAAAATTATTTTTCACTTGCAATCAAGACTCACAGAATCAAAGTGTTCTAATTTCAGATCAACGCAATACCTAAACTTAGATATTAATGAAGAACAGGTAGCGGCAAATTACTAGGAGCGAGAAGACCATTGTGTATTCAAGACGCAATGGAAGGCTACAAAGTAATACTAGAGGCAAAAATGGTTCGCACTCACACTTAAGTGGAACCAATGCCGTTTGATCTGGATCAGGCCAACCATCAAAACGCATCGTTGCACAGTAAGCTCCTTCAATTCGTGCCAAATTCCATCGTTTGGACCCTCAAGTCAGCATTTTTGCAGTTTTAGGAAAGATTTCGAGAACTAATAACGAACATTTGGATCACCATACAAAGAAAAGGTAGAAGAAGAGAGAGAGAGAATAAAACCTTAAGCATTTTCCATATTCCATATGTTACTAAAAGTTTTTTTTTGGGTAAGTAAATATATATGTTCAAGTTTAGTACAAGAGGAAATACAAAACCCTACACCAAGAAAATTACTAAAATACCGAGCGGAGCTACACGACTCTCAATGGGGCAACTGTTCCCACTCACTTCTTTGTTGCACTTTGTTTTATATATATGCTAATTATTTTCAAACTTGCCCTCTAGAAAAAATGCCTATATTGATCAGATTCTCATGCAATTTTTTCCAATCTGAAAACTAGTTTCAAATAACTTTAAATAAATTGAATTGAAGAACAACCAATTTGTATTTAAGCTATCACTTGGTAATAGTCTCTGTAAGTGAAATAGAAATTTCGTAACAAAGAATATTAGTATACAAATATTGCACTTATATATGCCTATTTATACTACTATACTAGTGATTAAGCTTGTAAGGATAGAGCAAGTTGTTCAAAGAAAAAAATAAAAAATAAATTGCACTTCAAAATTACATTTTTAAAAAGCAAAAATATTGTCAAAAAACACAAAAATGAGTTACCGAACAATCCTAAGTTTTTGTATTTGTTGTTAGCTTAAGTTTTCATTTTATTATTATTAGAATTTGTCCCCACTATGGTATTTTTCTAGCTCTGCCCCTTAAACTACCACTAATTAAAAAGACAAAAATAATATACATTCTTAACAAGGCCTTTAAGCTCATGATGTGACGGTAAGAAGCATCGAAAGGTTGTCAAGAACAAAACAAAAATGCATAATGGTATGAAACATCTTGAAAAAGTCAATCAATTGCATAGTAGAAGAAACAAAAAAACAAGAAAATCGTCCCAAGTTGACAAAGGTGGCGCCAAAAAATGGCAATCAATCTTGATATACTTGGTCCACTTGTGGAAAACAAAATTGTGTGCAATATGAATATCACTCTTTTCATCACAATACCTAAGCGTGGGAGCAGAAAATAAAACACCTAGATCGGCAAACAACCATTCAACCAAACTATTTCTAACGTAGTTGTAGTCATAGCCCGATATTTAGCCTCAGCGGTAAACAAGCAACAAAAATTTGCTTCGTGCTTTTCCAAGAAATAAGACTATCACCTAGAATCCATGGAATCACCTGCCCAATCGGCATCAAAAAAAGAGTAAAGCTCCAAAGAAGATGTTGAAGAAAATAACAAACTCGAATGAAAATTGCCCCAAAGATAACACAAAATGTGAAGATCTGCAGAATAGTGAACTATATCCGGAGAAGAAATAAATTGACTCACAACATGGATGGCATAAGCAATATCAAGTAGTGTAATAGTAAGATATACCACACTACCAACAATAACCCGAAACAAAGTAGGATCAGCAGAAGGGATGCCATCAGTAAAAATGTAAATGCACATTAAGCTCGACTAGAGTGTCAATAGTCCGAGAATCTATCAAAGAGATCCCTATTGATAACATCAACTGAATACTTTGAGTCCAAAAAAAAAGATAACCCATAAGAGACGAAGCCACTTCAATGCCAAAAATATAGGAAAGGACCAAGATTCTTTACATCAAACTGACGTTGTAACTATGCCTTCTAGACTGAAATACCCTCATAATCATCCCAACAATAATCATATTATCAACATATAAGAGAAGAATAATCTGGCCAACGAAAGTAGAATGAGGAAAAAGAACTAAATCATGATTACTTAAACAAAAACCAAAGTCAAATATCCCAATAGAGAACTTCTCAAACCAAGCTTGAGGAGTTTACTTGAGACCAAACAAAGCTTTTCTCAGTTTGAATGGCTCACCTAGAGCATGAGAGACAAGGAGGAATTATAAAAACTTCTTCTGCAAAATTAGGGGTGTCCATGGGCCAGGCCAAGTTAGGCCCGCGAAAGTTTTTTCGGGCCGGGCCGGGTTTCGGGTAGGGGTAGGCTACCCGCAGCCCAACCTGTAAGCTTATTGGGCGGACTTGTTGGGCGGGCTTGTTTGCGGACTTTTTTATATACATCTTTATTTAAAATAATGAATATTTTTGTAACTTAATATTTGTGTAAATTATATTTTTGAATCAAAAGTAAAGTCAAAATGAATAAAAATAAAATAATGAACTACATCTAATCATAGTTATTAAATCGTGTATCGGAAGCCGTATCGTTTTTTAAAAATAGTTTATCGTATCGTGTATCGTAAGATATAATGCAATTTTAAATAAATAATAAAAATATATATATATCTTTGAAAAAAAATCATACACTCATAAGAATATAGCATTTCATTAATACTCCACCACCTATTCAAGTTATCAACATAGTTCACTAATATTATAATGCAAAGTTTACAACCATAGTTCACTAATTCAAACTTCAAACACTAAAGAAACTTTTAATCCAAATTTATAACATCCATTTTGAACTCAATCCATAAAATTAATCAAGATTCATAAATTTTTATACAAAAAAAAAAAA